CATTTGCCTTCCACAAGGGCACACTGCTGGCTCATGTTAAGCTTTTCATCTATCAGGACCCCCAAGTCCTTCCCCACAGGGCTGCTCTCAAGGACTGCTCCTTCCAGTCTCCGCTCCTTCCAGTCTGTGTGGATGCCTGGGATTTCTCCTGCCCAAGTGCAAAACTCTGCACTTTGCTGTGTTGAACCTCATCAGGTTCACCCAGGCCCACCTTTCTGGCCTCTCGAGGTCCCTCTGAATGGCATCCAATGCCTGGCTTTGTTAACTGACATAACTTCTGTAGTGATTTTGCTATGGGACTTCAGTGCTGCCATTCCTCCTTGTAGAAGATAATTGGAAGTGAACCTCCCTAAAAGGTTTGCTTGGAAGCAGGCTGTGGGACTGCAGCGTCCCAAAGAGATGTGGGGAGCAGAGTGATGAATTCTTTCTTTCCACGGAAAATGCTGGATTGGTGCCTGCTGATAACAGCTATTTCAGCTGTCCAAAGAGTCTCCTGATTTTTTTAGATGAATTGCTTAATAGAAAGTAAAATTAGTTAGAACACAAGTTCATTACTAGCTGGTTTAACCCATACACAAGCAACATAATTAATTCTTTCCTGTGGGGAAACATGGATGAATGAGGAACTACCACCATTTTTCACCCACTTCATTCACAGATTGTACAATTAGAGCTAATTATGATTTTAGAAGCTCTCTGCAGAAGCAATGTGGTTGTAGGATCTGTTTTGGGGGGACTTGGCTGGACTGCTGATGAAAGCCCCATTGATTTCAGGTTTCTGATTCCAGCATCCTCTCTGAATGCACCATGACAATTAGAGTCTGTGGGTCATCTTTCACCAAGGTCAGTACAGTTTTTTTTACACCTTTTGGATTGTCTTGCTGTACAGATTATTGATTCCCAGTCAGTAGTCTCCTAATTTGGAAACACTCCTGAATTTTTTGCCTGGTTTGATCCTGTCTGTGTTCTGATGAGCTGAACTGCTTTGCAGGGCTTCTGTCTTAGCAGTGCCTGTTTAGAGAAGCTGGAACTTGTAGGGGAAGAGTGGTGGAGGTGAGGGCAACCAAATAACAACACAAAGGAGTGTGCAGTTGTGTGTCAGTTCTGCATGTGGACAAATAATACAGGTTAAAGTTTATGAATCATACTTCCAGTGGCAAAAACATGTATTACAAGAAATGAATGCAGTTACCAGCAGGCTCTCATAAGTCAGTGCTGTGACCCTGAGCTGGGTGTTTGGGTGCAGTTGGCTGCTCTGTTCCATCAGAACAGAGGGTTTCAGGAAGGAAGTACAGCTTGGTAGCCATAAGAGTAACTGAAGTGAACCTTGTGCCTAATGCTGTGCTGTATGCTGCAGCAGTGCAAGCCCAGTGTCAGCCTGCTCTCATCACTAACACTGGTGGGATTCCACCCCCTGATTCAGCCTGCTGGGACAGCAGGTGATTGTGTTTCCTGTGACATTCATCTGTGTGTCCACACTGTGCTTTAGGATGTCCTGCCAGCTGTCCTGATTGAGCACAAACACCAACTTCAGCAGTTTTCTCAGTTCAGTAAATGATGGCATTCATGTTTTCTCAGTTATGTTTTGCCACTTGAATGACTGCAGTTCTCACTCAGTGTGTCGTGAAAACTGAGGTGAAGGATCCACAAAGGAGGGGAGCAGGGAGAAGGCAGGAGGAGAAAAACCCTTTGCATTTGCTCTGTTGCCACAGCTGCAGTATTTTTGAAGGTATTCCCTGGAGGACTGGGATTTAGCTTAGCTGGATGAGTTTCACAAGTCTCTCCCAGTTTGTTTATGGTGAATTTCATCCACTAGATCAATGTAACTAGAACAAATGAAGGAGGAAAACTGAATAAGGAAGCTTTAGCCTTTGTGTAAGCTGGCTAATTTCTTCCCCTGGATGAGAGGATTAAAAATCACGGCCTTGCATAATCACTGGCTTTGGAAAGGTTACATCTGCCTGGAACGTTTTCTGCTGTAGCAGTTGATGGTTATGAATGAGTTCCCCAATCCATTGACATAAATGTTCTGGCAGGCACTTGCAAACCTGCTTACAGTCTGATGCTTTGGGATAAGACTGCCCTTCACTGGGTGATGGCTGCTGCAGGCTCAGCAGGTGGAACTTCACAGTGGCACAGACCTTCCATACCAATGTGGATGGGAATAACAGAGTATAGCATTTGTCAAGGAGGAACCTTTGAGAGGTTTTGAAAACCTGACCTTACTCATTGTGCCTTTGTTCACCAGATCCACTAAGGGATAGAAGAGAAATACACAGATTACTTAGATCTCAATAGGCACCAATTTCCTCTTACAGTTTAATTTGCTACATCTGTAGAAATTCTTAAGATGTATGGGCACTGTATTTTTTTTCTTCCATGGGCATTCTGCATTCTGCAGCATCCATGTTCTTTCAGAGAAGCCATTTCTATGTGAAAAATGGGGTTGTTCAGTGATCTTCAAATCAGGTCATGCTGGTTTAGTGTTAAAATAAAGCACCACAGAAGTTCAATTTTTTGCTAATCTCCACAGTTTCAATGAGACCAGTTCTTGCAGTGTGCTAATTAGGTACTATCTGAGTAATTTTGGACTAGACAGGTTTTATCTCTTGCCCTTAATGCTGCTCATCTGATTTAAGCCGTACAGCACAGAAGTATAAACCTTCTTTTGGAATATGACTGAAGGCCATTGGTTTGATTGCTTCTCTAATAGAGGGAAAATATGGATCATGCAAATTTCTTGGGCATGTGTGAGCAGCAGGTGGGACAGGAGCTTTTGCAGCATCCCTTCCCAGGGTAGCCCTGGTTTCAGATCCCATGAAGGGCACTGAGCATCACCTACCCCTGTCTCAGCAGCAACCTGTCCGTTTCCAAATGTCAGCACAAGTCAGACGTGCTGCTATGGCTGCTGCAGAGCAAGAAGGTTGCTGTGACTCAGCTCTGTGTCACAGCTCTCAGCCTGCTGCACATGGCATAGAATTATAGGATGGCTTAGGCTGAAAGGGATCTTAAAGATGCCCAGCACTGCCCTTGCTGTGGGCTGGGTGCTCACCAGCCCAGGCTTCCCAGGGCTCCATCCATGACCTCAGGCACCTCCAGGGATGGACGCCACAGCTCTGGGCAGCAGAACTGAGGCCTTGCTGCCTTCTGAGTAAAGGATTTCTTCCTAACATCTAACCTAAATCTTGTTCTTTTAGTTTAAGTCTTTTCCCCCTTGTCCTATCACTGTCAGCCCATGCGAAAAGTCAGACTCCTTCCTGTTCATAAGCTCAAGTCTTGAACAAGGCCCAAATGAATGTATTTGGCAGTGAGATGTGTTGACATGTAGGTTTGCTGTCAGACTCGAGGAGCAGCAATAAACAGCTGGGTTTGAGATGGTTCCCTTTGAATGTACTGTGCAATGTAGTGCAGTGACAGCAGGCTAATGACTCCTCTCAGTATTGGGTGAGCGAGGGCGAAACTGGGTTTCTGTTTACTGTTAATTATAAAGCTGCAGAGAGCTTAATGCATTAGGGCTGTGCTATATTTAAATGGTCCCCCATCTGTCTGTCTGTCCCTATTACAAAATGTTCTTTGAGAAGATCACGGGGCCAGCTTCTCTCTCCTCTTAAAAGCTGTTTTTGAAGCACTCAGTTGCTTTCAGAGCTGTCTGACATGCCATGGCATCTGTGTCTCTTTGCTTTGTGCTGTTAAGTCACTGCAGTGCTGTTTTGAAGGCATTGCAGACAACTACAGGGAATGGCATTTCTCCACTTGCAGAGTGAAATCGATGCATTTCTGAAAGATGAAGCTATTATTCATGCAGAAAATAGAATCTTTGGTCATGCACTGTGTGTGTTGCAGACGGTTATCTTCAGTTAGGAGGCTGTTATAACTGAATTAAGAATAACAATTCCAAACAAAACCTCTTGTCAACTCAGGCCAGCCAGATTGACAGCCCTGAGGCTCACAGGCTTTGCTTATCCCCAGAGTATTGGAGCAGTGATGGGCACAGCAGCACCTCATCTGCCCCAGCTGCATCCCGGGGGTCTGTGCTGTGTGTGCTGGGACTTCTGCCCATCACTTCTGAGCTGGGCCCTGCTTTTACCACCCAAAGGGTCACTTAGAGGTGGTGGTTTCTAGAAAGCTGGCAGCCAGATTGGAAACAGCAAACTCATTTCACACAGCCTGCATTATGAGCTCTAAAGTCTCAAGGTTTTGGGCACTTGTGGGCTGAGATGAAATCTTGGGTTGTACATTAATAGGCCCTTTAATTAGCAGGCTCTGTACTAAGAAGTGTTCAAGGCTCATTAAAATCATTCTACTGAAATAAGGGAATTGATTTGTGAATCTTGTGGATTATTCAGCGGAAGAGTGGAATATCCCCTCCCCAAGGACAGACTTGGAAGGATTTCTTTAAAATAAATGACAGTAAAAATCCACGCATTTGTTTTCCTTCTTGTCTTTGAGATCAGGGCTGTGGAAGCCAGCTGTCGCTTTGGTTGCATGCTTGTCAAATTACAAATGGGCTGGAGTGGACTGTTCTGGAACAGGCTGCCATTTTAGAACTTCCCACTTCCAAGAGCAGCTTCACTCAGTGCCCAGTGGGTACCTTTCCTCTGCACCAGTGCCTCATTATGTGTGTTGAAATAGGCATCATCTCTGCTTATTCAATTTTATTTTTGTGTGTGTGTGGTTGTTTTCCTTTTTAAACCCACAAAATATGGCTCCAGTTCCTGGTTAATTTTGCTGAAACACGACACTAGCCAAATATTTTTTATTAGTCACATAAGAAGGAATGCAAGGAAGTATTCTTAGAAAGTGTTATAACTATGCTTGACGTGTAAAATATTTACCCAGACATGTAAACACAGCAAGGAATGCCATGCCAGTGTACCATCACACATTGAGCAAGATGTTTTCCAGCTCTTGGAAATAAGGTATCGTGTCCTCCGCTGACATGAACTGACAGAGTGTTGATGCTTGGCTTTACCCAGCAGAACTCTTAGCCCCCCTCTCTCCCATCCCAAAAATAAATCAGGATGAGCTTTCTCAAAGAGCTGCAATTGTGCTAAATAAATCTGTTTGGCTGTAGGGTTGCTTTAGCATTACTAACGTGACCGCAGTCTGAGGGGTTTGTTTTGCTTTCTGTTGTCTGTATCTTAACGTGTACTAAAAAACTTTCTTGTTCCTGCAGAGCACGCTGCCCTGGTGCCTCTGCTTGGCAGGAGTGTCCCCATGGCTCTGTGGATTCATCTGAGCCATTTCCAGCTGTTCTCTACCACGGTGAGATAGGCAGTGCTGCTGGGGCTGCCCGATAACCTGACTGAGATCCTGTGTTCTGCCCAGCTTCGGTATGAAACTCCTCCTGTGCTGGGCTCTGATGTGAGCTCTGCCACGTCCTCAGCACTGCCCTCATGCTCTGCTGGCTGCAGATCTGGATGCAAGCTGCTGCTGTCCTGGTCACTGTCAGTGCTGGGCTGTGAGCTGTCCCAGTGCTTCTGTACCAGCAGGGCTGTGCAGGCAGATCAGAGCTCATCCAGCACATCAGTCACCCTCGAGTTCCTCCACACTTCACTATAGATTAACCACTTTCTCAAGGCAGGGCACTTTGATATTTAATTGCATTTCATTAAATAGTTTTCCTGCTGTGGGTCTGGATTGTCTTTGGTTGTTTTGTTTTTTTTTATTTTTAATGCTGCATGCTCTGTTTTTTCTGAACTCTCATTGGTTAACAGTTACTGTAACTGCTTTCAAAACTCTTCCCTCTGTTATTAGTTGGCTCGAGCTGCTGCCAGGCAATTGGTTAAAAATGAATGGCAGTTGGAGTTGTAGCAGATGAGCTGGGAATGAGTTAGCAGTTACTTGCTGGGATTCCTTCCAGAGGAGGAAGGTGGAGTTCTGAGCTGCTCACAGCATTTCCAAAATAAGAGTCGTGGCAAACAGGGGCTGTGTGAAACATCAAGAAACTGCAGCAAACTACAAGTGAGAAGTTTGAATTCAGATTATTCTCTCTACCAAAGAAACAATCCTCTTGTGTTAAAGCTGTTCCCTATGTCAAATCTAAGGAGGCTGAGCCAGGAGTGTGGAAAGAGAGACTCAGGATGGTGAGCTTTGTTGGTTTGTTTTTCCCCTGAAAATAGCTGGTTTAAAAAGAAAAAAAAAAAAAAAAGCTGTTTGCTGCCATGTGAGTTTTGTACTGAGCCTGTCATGAATCAGCTCTGGGGAGGGAGGGGACTTTTAAACTGAAATATTTACATGAATCAGACAGCTGGGCTTTGGGGGAGTGACCAGTGCGGTACAAACAGTTTAAACTCTGAAGCTCTGCTGTGCCTCGGTGTTTCCCTCTGATCAAGAAGGATTTGGGGGACTGGAGCTGGTAGCACTGGGAACATATGAGCCGCCAGTGAGTAAAGCTGTGTTGTGTGGGTGCTGGTGGAGGGTTTGCTCGGGTGTTGCAGCAGGGAAGGAGGTGATTTCTGTTCAGTTCTGGTTGCTGCAGGTGTGTCAGGATTCTCACAAGCTTTATGGATGCTTTCAAAATTCTCACAAGTCTTTATGCTTTATAGGACAGCTTATAACGAGAAGCTTTGGATTCTGTAGTGTAAATGTAGACACTTGTGTGAATGTGAAACAGCCAGATTTAGCTGCCCAGGAAGAAACGGTGCTTTAAAATCTAAAGGAAGGTCTTCTTTTTTTTTTTTTAACTTTTTGGTTGTATTGAAGCTTTTCTAAGCATCCCTGCTGAGAATGGTGGGGCTGGATACAAGTCAGAACTGTCTGTTGCTGTTGTTTCTGTTGAGGATTTTTGCCAGGTGCTTTGTAGCTTTATCTAACACAACTGAAGACGATTTTAACTCATAGGTGTCATTTGGCTTGAAACTTCACCTGGCTTGGTTTTCTGTTTGTGAAAAAGGGACCCTGTGTTTCTCCTGGCTCTCCTGAGGCTGAAGATCCTGCTGATGTTTGCAGTGGACCAACCTTCACCAGGTTTTGACTGAAGGTAGTTGAGCAGCACCAGCAAAGCTGCTGTGACTGCAGTGATGAGATGCTCTTCACGAGGATCAGCTGTAAGAGCTTTTTCAGAAAGCTGCATTTAACCCACGAGTGTGGATAACAGCAGTGGTTCCTGAAGGCCACCTGGCTGCTCTCGTTAAGCCTCTCAAGGAGGGCAGGAGCTTTAACAAACACAAACCTGTTGCCTTATTCAGGAAACACAGTTTCCTTCTGATACACCCAGCAGCAAGGCTGCACTGGGTGCTCTTCATATCTCCACGCTGAGCGTGCTCTGCTGTAACTTTCCTATTTTGGGAAAGGCCATCATATGTTACTGCAAGTTAATAAATCTCAGCAAGCTTCCTATGTGTGTTAGTGCTGATGGTGGCAGCGTGGAGGGCTGTGGTGACTCAGTGCCATCCGTGGTGACGGAGCTCTCAGTGTGTGAACCAGTCCCTGTCAGTTATGGAGGAATCTGGCAGACCATGAGGCTTACATCCAGGGTTAGACGTTCAGTGTCAAGCTATTAAAGCCATGCTGCAGACTGGAGCTCTGAATTGTACTTGTAGAAACAGTAGATTGTTGTTAAGACTGAAGTAAGTGAGTAGGTCTGTAAACTTTTCTAACAGTGAAGCACTATGCACAGAATAGGAGAAAACAATCAAGCATTTCATCAGCCTTCTTGCTGTCTCTGGCCAGAATTTGCAGGCTGCTCTGCGTTGCATCAGTCCTGCTGGACATTATTTTCCATCTATAATTTGAAACCAGATGGCAAACGAATGCACTGTATATTGATAGAGCTATTTCATAAGAAGGGAGAAGCCTTTGCAATGTGTCTGTGTGAACTGAGCCTATAAAGCACTCTTGGATCGCCTGGTTACGTTTGTGTCTATAACAGAAAATGAGGCGAGGATTATTGGTAGGTGTGAGATGAGCATCTTAAAGACTCCAGGTAGACTTTCTCTCTGATGCAATGGGAATGAATGCACTTTTATGTTGTTCTCCTATGGTGCAGGCCTATCTACAGGTGGGCAGCAGCAGGCCCACTAAGTTTCACTTGGCCTTGAGCATCCTTTGTATGATTCAGCCCCACAGGGCAGTACCTGGGGCTCAGTGCTTGCCTTTCCTGCTCTGTAAGCAAACCCTGTGTGCCAGAGGTGATGTGAGGCCACAGTGCTCTGTGCCCAGGGCAGCCCCATCACCCTGGCTTCCTCTCTTGCTATGTGACATTTCACATGTGGCATTTCACCTTCTGAAAGAGCAGAACTGTGCTCATAAATAAGTCCTGTGCTTCAAAGAGAGGTAGCAAGTATGGATCCTGATTTGTATGTGGCAGTTTAAACTCCAAATGAGTGTTGGACACACGCTGTGGTTCTGCATGAAGGGTGTTTTAATAGGGAGTTTTCAGTTACAGTTTGTTGGTGATGCTGTAATTGTCTCTTGCTGGGGATGCAGAAGGGAAGCTTGGTCAAGGCTACAGCAGGCAAGCAGGTTTGGGTTTTTTCCCTATGCCCTTCTGTGCTGTTTCCTTTTTGTATCTTCTTTATTTTTCAGTCCGAAGAGATCCCCAGGTTAAGGGAACAAACAGAAGCTGGGGCCAAAGCTCACAGAGTTTGATCCTGATTTTGTTCACGGTGGCTCAGCCCTGCTGTTTCCAATGAGCTGCTCACAGCCAGGGCAGAAACTACAAGCGTAGCCTTTCTGAGCAGCTGGGCTGTGCTCTCCTGCACAGCCCTGAGGAGTGCTTCAGCAGCACAGTGAGGTGGGCAGCAGGGCCTTGGCTTGGGGTGTCAGTGCCACAGCTGCCTCAGTCACCCATCCTTACGTACAGGAAATGCTTCTCATTATTTAACTTAAGTGAGATTTCCCTTTTTGTTCTGCAGAAGAGGAGTCAGTCATCATTAACGTGTTATTCTGCTTTTGTTTGAGAGTGCTTTGGACGTGTTCCAAGGATATGCTTTCAGAAATTAAAGTGAGGCTAAACTTTTCTGAAAGGTGTGCAATTATATTACAAATACGTCTTGTTCCAAACTGGTAGGCTACAGAATTAGGTCAGGCACACCCTGAATATGCACATTTCCTGCTTGCTCATGTTTCTGAGAATTGTATGTGGGAATGTTTTTGTAGATTTAAAGGAGCGTCGTCACCTAAAAATGCGTTGTTGGGAGTTGTATTGAAGTCATCGTGATGCTGTGATGTCGGAAGAGCAGGAGATTGCCAGCTGCCCCATTTGGTTGCTCAGTCTGGTTGTTGCTCTTTGCTGTTTTTAAACCATGGGATGAATTAAGATCATTCTTTTTAGCTATTTCTGCTGCTTCCCGAGTTGCTGCTCGTTGTGCTGGGTGACTGCAAAGCAGTGCTGAAGCCGTTGGATGTTCCAGGCAAGGGCTTTGCTCTGACAGCACTGCTTTTTCTTTAGAGTTTCCATGGAGTTTGCTGCAAACCTGGGCTCCTCAGCTGTTTTAGAATTGCTTTTTAAAAATAAATATTAAGAAAAAAACAAAAGAGCATGAGGGTAATTATAAGGAACAGCTAAAGCTAGATGTTAGAAACCAGCAAATCTGCACTGCTAATTTTATTATCTTTTGCTTGATTAAATGTTTTGCATCTGTACTGGGTTTCCTTTGCTGGTTATGCTATTTGCATTCCTTCCTTGCACACCACCTTTATACTCTTCGTGTTGGTGTGAGCAAGTTGGGCCATTTGGAATGAAACATTTCACTCCTGAGAGCTGTACACGTTGGAAGGTGGGTTTGGATGAGAGTTCAGTCTCCAATTAGAAGTGGTTACAGCACTCTTCTTTCATTTTAAGAATTAAGAATTCTCAATGTGGGCCTGTTCTTGAGATAGCTGCCTGTGTGCAGCCAGGGGGCAGGAGGGGTGGATGTATTGGTCAGCGTTGGGGCTGCAGTTGCTCCCAAAATCATCTCCCCTTTTGTCCTGTTTTCTCTAACAAGGCTGCCCTGAGTGTTTTCCAGGGCTGTCAGGAGGAATGAGCTGTTAATATATGTAAGAAGCTCTGAAGGTGAACAGTGCTAATTATTATTTATAGGTATTCAGTCTCACTCCAAGTGCTTCACCTTGATCATAGGCATGAAAGGAAAGCAGGACATCTGTCAGCTGGTCAGCCTCAAGTGTGGCCTTCTGAAGTCTTCATGCACTGATTTCCCTCCTGGACTGTGTACATGATTGCAGTATATTTGTCATGTTGAACTGTTGGGCTGTTTGTTATACAAGCCAGATCCAGACGTTAAGGTGTCCTTCCTTGTTTGCCTTAATCCTTCATTGCTTGAGAGCTTCTTCCAAAACTAACAACCTGCTGTTTTCTCTCCTAGCTCTTCTCTTAGGAAACGCAACCAACACCTTGCATCACGGAGGCCCAGCATGAATATTAACTGTGCTGGTGGGAAGAGGAATCTGGAGTCCACTTGCTCTGTAGAAAATGGAACTGTAGCAGTGCACGAGACAGAAGAAGGTAATGTGATGCTTGGAGGTCACAGCCCCTCTGCAGGCCTCAGGAACGAGGGTGAGGATAATGTCTTTACCTTGCACTGATCTTTAAGGGAGATTGGGGGGGGGGGGGAGTAGAGGAAGTGTTTAATTTCTGTGCTCCTGCTCTTTAACCATGGAATCTGTCTTGCTTTAACAAGCTGTGTTAAGCATGGGGGAAGTTTTTTTCCTCTGAAAGCCACATTCTGTCTAAATTTGAAAATGCAGACTGGCCTCAGGTCAGATAGCATTATTCTGACAGTGATGTATATTGACATCCTTCGTTATTGTCTGACTCGTTTTTCTCATTGCAGTAAGAAGTGTTACTGCTGAATGATGTTTCAGGAAGCTGTATCTTCCCTTTGTTTGTCTCTCAGGTTTAGATTCTGACTACAGACACACTGCTTGCCCAGCCAGCCCCCAGTTCAGCAGCATGTTGTCTGCTTCTGAAGACGCACACAGTTGTCACTTCCAAGATGGAAATAAAAGACAGACAGAATATTTTAACACCCAGGAGCGCCATGCTTTGTCTTCAAGCATCAATTCGCAGACGGTGGCTCCAGAGAAAGTGACACTTGTGGTAGATGGCACTCGGTTTGCAGTGAATCCACAGATTTTCACTGCTCACCCTGATACTATGCTGGGAAGGTGAGTGATTTCCCCCGTTTTCAATATACCTCAAGAGAGTAAGATGTTTTCTGAAATGGAATAGACATGTACCGTTTGTGTTATGATCTCATCTGTGCACACATGCAGAGCAATGTTGACCTTATTCAGATATGTGCTGTTAGTAAGGCTTTGAAGACATGAGTAGATGTAGAGAAACTTAGTAATTCTCTAGGTAACATTCTCTCTATGGCCTGCTTCCTTCAAGCAGTGTACACTTCTAGCTAGACGTAGTTTGCTTTAGCATTCTGAGTGTTTGCCTTGTTTGTGAGTGCTGCATCTGTTGGCAGCTGATAACTTCATCCCTTACAAAATGGGAAAAAATGATAATGCTTCCTCCCTGTCTTGCTGTTATCTTTTAATGCTCTCCTAAGAGAGAAGTCACTCAGCTCCCTGTAACATGGATTAGAGGTCAGTCTCTGCAACAAGAAACGTTCATTTTCTGTATTGCCAGCCTGTCTGTGACCAAGGAGAGACTGCTTCTGTTGGGCTGCTGACATTGCACAGGTCCTTGTGTCAAGCAAGTGATCTCAAGGAACGTGATCCTTGCCTTCCATAACTTCAGTGAAAGGGCTTCTTTAACTAGGAGTTTTCTGACTCAGGCTTGACTGGTCTGTTTCTTTGAGTTGTGACTTGTTGCATACAATGCAGTAGCTACAGCAATAGAATTCAGCTCTAGCAGGACTTAGGTGAGACAGTTCTTGTGCTTATTTACTGTGGGGGAGATGTGAGTATTGGTTTCAGGTTGCTGTGTACAGGTGTCACTGCTGGTGTTCTGTAACCTCAGTGCACCTATTGCTCTCTAGAAATAATGAATTTAAATATACTTGGACACTTATGTATTTTTATCTGTTCAGAATGTTTGGACCAGGAAGAGAATATAATTTCACCAGGCCAAATGAAAAGGGAGAATATGAAATTGCAGAAGGAATTAGCTCAGCTGTATTCCGGACTGTGCTGGTAAGATGATGTTTGCAGACTTGGGGGGGGAAGCAGTTGTTTTGTCACATGTGCAAAACTGAGTCATCTCTGTGCCCCTGGGACGTGTTCTTTTATTACTGTTTTGCATTGTGATTTTATGTAAAATAATTATTTATGTATGCATATATTCAAAATACTGACTCGCATCAAAATCAAATATTTGCTCATGTTGCCTTTTACCTCTCCTGTGAGCTTTGTTCTGACTCTGTGGCTGCACGTAAATGATTATTGCATGTGTTAGGAAACCCCAGTGCCATGGAAAAGGTTTGACTGGGACTCACAGTTGATCAGTCCCAAGAGGGTATGCAAAGAACTGTAGATTCTCAGACAGGTGGGTGTTTCTGCTATTCACAAACCTATTTATACTTCCTGAAACTCAAGTGCTCGTCAACAAAACAAAAAGCTAAATAGAAAAACAATCAGAATCCAAGCTATTCTTCATTTTTCCCCCCCAAATTTTTCTTTTTGTTTGCAGGATTATTACAAGACTGGAATAATAAACTGTCCTGATGGGATTTCCATCCCAGACCTTCGAGACACCTGTGATTACCTCTGCATAAACTTTGACTTCAACACAATCAAATGTCAAGATTTAAGTAAGTATAAAATAAATCAGCTCTTAGGAAAATCATGCCTGTAGTGTTGAGCACTCATCTTGATTTGGTGCATTTTTTATGTGCTTTAGTTTGAGTGTAAGGGTATGGACTCCACTAGGACTGATAGGTGTGTGGCATGTAGACAGCTTCCCTTTTTTGCTGCTTCAGCTGAAAATGCATTGATTAAATCCTGCAAGACATCTGGCTCAGAAAAGCAAAGTGAAATTGTAGAACTTCTCAGCCTCTGTTTTGAGGGGGAACTGGAAGAGCTTACTGCTACAGCCAGACCAAATGAAGGCTACAAGCAGATTTGCAACCCCTAACTAAAATGTACCAAAGAAGTGAGAGTAATTTAAGCAGAGAGGTGAACAGGCAGACTAGGTGTTGAAGACACTGAAGTTGTAAAGTAGTAGAGTTCTTTGCAGTGAAACTGACTGGGAGCAGCTTTTTGATGGGTATTCTGGCAAAGAAAGGAACTTTTCACACAGGCAAATCTGTGAAGAGCACTGTGCTGAAATGGGGTTTGTGATACCATAGCACAGACCTTGGGTGGAATTCCTGCTGTCTTCTGATGAGCAGGCAGGTGGCAGAAAATGTGCTTTCAAGTCCAGAGATGGTTGCTGGAAGTTCAAAGATCAGAATGAATGAATTATTCTCTTATTTTGCTGTATTGATTCAACCTTTTTTTTTTTTTTTAAATGGTAATTCAATGGTTTTAGGGTGTAATTTGCATCCCATTTGAAATGCACTCATTTGTTTTTATTTTCCAGTTCTTGTACTGGAGACTATTGGTGCAACTGAACATATGTTGATGAGTTTGTCTAAAGATGAATGAATATCTTGAATATCTTAAAAGTGTAGAGCTGGGATGTATTTTCATATGGTATCTTAACATACCTACACATGTATTTTCATGCTTAAAAAAAGCTCATCATGTTGTTGTGTCTCTTTTAGGTGCTCTTTTACATGAGCTCTCTAATGATGGTGCTCACAAGCAATTTGACAGCTACCTGGAGGAGCTAATTCTGCCTATAATGGTGGATAGTGCCCGGAAAGGGGAGCGTGAATGCCATATTGTTGTGCTGACAGATGAGGACACTGTGGACTGGGATGAAGATCACCCTCCTCCAATGGGCGAGGAGTACTCTCAAAGTAAGGGCTCCTGGCTCAGGTTCTGCACACTCCCAGACATCTGGCTGCTAGGAAAGGACCCACTGTCCAAACAGCAGCCTTCCTCCAGGAAGGGAGGCTGGCACATGGTGTTCTGTTTTGTACATTCCTTCTGAATTGGCTGCTGCTACAGGCAGGATACTTGTCTTGTTACAGCTTTGTTTTGATTTCCTGCAGTGGTAATGGAGAGCATTCACTGCATTTCTTCCATATGTTTATTGCCTCAGCCTTTTTCTGGTGTGTGAATACTTTTTGCTCTACACACCCATCACCACCCTTCTATCCATACTGTAACGTGTATGGCTACACTGCCACCAAGGAACCAGAGCTAATCCTACTTGTGAGAACAGATACGTGAGCGGTTCCTGGAAACCAAACCTGCTTTTTTGACACTCCCACAGCTGAGTATGTCAAAAACAGGGAGAAGGTCTCTCCTGTGGATTCTCATTGCTGTTTATTTCTCCAGTCCTTTACAGTTCCAAGCTGTACAGATTCTTCAAGTACATCGAGAACCGCGATGTTGCAAAAGCTGTGTTAAAGGAGCGGGGCCTGAAGAACATTCGCATTGGCATTGAAGGTAAAAATCAACAAGGGAAGTGCTAAAAGGAGTGACTCTAGCATGTAAAACCTGTTTTCTATTGGATTTGCATCAGAGGAGGGCTTACATTGGCTATCTCACGTGCTGTTATGCTTTCCTGTGTCACCACATCCAGGCATCCCAGCGCCTGGGCTCTGATAATGCTAATGGATTAATTATTCTGTCCCCACATCCTGGCACCAGAAAGGGAAGAGAGGGGAGGTGATAAATGACTGCTTAAAAGTTGTGGATGTTTGCCATACCATTGGTTATGCGAAACATATTATCAGGGTTTGGAAGCAGGGAATACCTGTCACGTGTGCCTGCAACATGCTTAATGCTGTGGATGCTTAATGCTGTGGATGGTATGGCTGCATCCTCTTTTCCAGGGAAAAGAAAGCAGCCATGAAAGCCAATAATGGTAAATGTAGGAAGTGAGCACTTGTCTACTCAGTCACCTGTGTCCCTGTAGTCACTCCTGTCTGTCCTTCAGGATCTGTTGAGGGTGTGTGGTGCAACTGACTGTCTGTCTGTGTTTTCAGGATATCCCACCTGTAAAGAGAAAGTGAAGAGGAGGCCAGGTGGTCGCTCAGAAGTGATATACAACTACGTTCAGCGGCCGTTCATCCAGATGTCCTGGGAAAAGGAGGAGGGGAAAAGCCGTCATGTTGACTTCCAATGCGTCCGGAGCAAATCTCTAACAAACCTGGTCACTGTGGGTGATGACGACGTTTCAGAGGACCATGAGGTTATAATGCATCACCCCCCACAGGTAGATGAACTGGATAGGCTAAATGCTCCATTCTCCCAAATGGCTGTTAATGATCTACCAGATTAGTCATGGCTCCGGCTTGATGTGGGAACATCTCAGCATAGTTTCATCCTAGTAATGGAACACAGACTCCTTGCAAGGTGCTTTATCCTCATTCATCTTCTTACTATGTTGTCATATTTCAAGCATGTTAATAAAGAGCCACGCTCTCTAGCCTAATTGTGCAATCAAAAGCAACATCTCAAACAAAAAGAAAATGTCGCTTGTTTCCACTACAAAGGCTTCCAGACTGATGGGTGCTGAATATTTTAAGTAGACTTCTGAAAGGAGCAGAAGTATTTAGAAATGACATGAGAGAGGAAACTGTGGGCCTGTCAAGACAAAGCTTCTATTTACCATTAGATACTTAGGTTTGCTTTTGTGATAATCTGCACCAAACATCAAAGCAAGACAGGTGATGCTCTTTCATCAGCCAGCAGAAATGTAGCACGGTTGTGGCAGCAGAATACTGAGAGTGGGGAAATGACAGCAGAATGCTGCATGAGGGAATCTGTTTACACTGCCACCTGGCTTTGCATCCAGTCTGTACAGCTGTTCTAGGGAGCACCTCTCAGAGGTGTTCAAGGCCAGGTTGGATGGAGCAGCCTGATGTGGGCTGGAACTGGATGGTCTGTAAGGTCTTTTCCAACCAAAACCCTTCTGTGATAATAGGAAGTATGAGACTCTTCACAGGAGCTGCCTGTATATACTTCTACATTGGATGAAATGACTGTTCAGAGATATTGTCTGTGAAGTTCATTAAAATGAGCAGATTGTGCTGGAGGAAAAAGCCAGAAAGAAGACTAGTTGATTTTTTTTTTTTTTTTTAGCAACAGTCAGTCTGTTTAGTAGCATAGAAGATGATGTAAGAAGCTTTCTAAAGATGACTGTGCACGTTAAGAATTTTTTTCCTCATCCTTTCTAAGAAAAAAAAATAATGCTGGAGCTGAGCAAAATCTGTTTGCATCAACCTCATCAGTGAAGACTTGCATAGGCTGCCCAAGGAGCATTCCACCCACAGGACCCGTTTCAGCTTCTGAAGGCCACTTCCCTCCCAGTTTGGAACTGACTGGACTCTGTCACAGTCAGGCACATAGGAGACATCCAATAATAAATGAGACTTCAGCAGGAAAAAAATACACATACCTGGGAACAATTGCCCTCTGCTGCTCTAAGTACAGTATTCTGTATTTAAGGTTCTATTCATTTTGAATTCAGGGCCAACAAAGCTGTGACTGTAGGTGTAAACACACTCTGGGCTGCTTAACTCACTTGTGTTGGAGTGTAGCTGTCCTGTTCCTTTTGTGTGCAGTTTCCTACAGGCTGCTTAACCCACTGATGAGCACACAGAGCATTCAGTACAGCCAGAGCCAAGCAGGCAGGTGAGCAAGCACAGACCTGCATTACACAGCTAGCATTTCTGAGGGCTGCAGAGAAACTGTACGGACCCAAAGCAGTGCTGTTCTGGTACAGAGCAAAGCTGAAACACCCAAAAAGCATGAGAGGAAAGCAGCTCCTGTAAGTTCAGGTCAGTTCTGCTCTTGTAATTGATTGATGTTTAAACCTGTGCTGCTTGGTTTGTAAGTTACTTGGGCATACTTAAAGTAGAGGTAGGTGTTAGTCTGCCCCTAGAAGCTTTAATCCCTTTGTTGTCAGGGTTGCATCAAGCAAATTCTCATTATTTTCTATCTGTCTGCAAACTGTAAGGTAGGCATGGTATTGAAGTTTGCTGTTACTGTTTTACTGCTATGGATGTATTGCTTTCCTTTTCTGTGTAAGGAACATGAATGCCTTTCTGGTTAAGAGTAACAACACCATCTCTGCCAACGCTTATGTGCTGATGCATTTCGTTCCCATTTGTATGGATATGGGTTCTGTTATCAGCAGAGTTTCTTTTTCCTAAGTGCAGCAAATATCTCTCTTCTTTTATAAGTGCCTATGGGAAGATTTCCAGAAGTGCTTCAGGTCCTCCTGAGAGTCTTAGGGGTTGAGGTCCACCTGACTTCTGAAAAGTCCTTTCTGTGTGTTAATGGATCAGCATAGAGAAGTGTCCTTCAGTGTCTGCACAGAGGCAGTGTAAGTCATGTGCAATCACTTTCCATTGTTGTTCTAGATGAATTTCTATTCTTGTATTAGAGAACAAAAGCTATGGCACATTGATCTTCCAGGAGAGGTCCAGGCCATGTCCATTAGCTGCCAAAGGATTGAGCAGCTCCCAGAGTGAAGCATAGGCAATGGTGAGGCTGGCTTCTGGCAATGATGGAGCTTGGCTCCAGGCCCTGTGGATTTTTGGTGTCTGTATTTATTTTTACAGCTGTGTAAGTTTGGTTTGAAGCAAACCTGTGCTGAGTTGGGATTGGGGTTTACCCATTCCACGGGTGTGTGGGTCAAACAGGCCCTCACTTGAAGGCTCAGAATGTCACTGCCTTGTTAACTTTCTGGTGCTGTGTAACCAATGGGACCTTCAGCACAGGATGGGGGGCCTGGCTTCCATGCTGTATGTGGACTGCTTTGCAGACACTGAATGACACTCTACTTTATTGGCTTTCCCAAGTAGCTGGAGATGCATTTGGGATTTATTTTTAGTAGAGAGAGTTCTGTTGGAACACTATGTCAAGGTGAAGAAGTATGCATTTGCTTTTCCTCCTTTTCTCATAGTTGCCCACCATTCAGGTAGAAGTGTTTGGTCTTATTCTAGATGTACTGAAGTGTTAACTGTGGTGTCCATAAACTCCTACAGCTGTATGGTTTCTTTTATGTATTAAAGCATAAATTATACGTGGTTGTTTGGGCTCTTTTAGATGTGGAATAGAATAGGTAGGGGGTTTATATTGCTATAAAAGATGCTCCCCAATTCTACCTAGTTGAAGTGGATGAGGTCCCTTCCACCCCAAACCATTCTGTGAATAAGGTGGAGCCCAGGTGACATTTAATGGATTGACTGACAACTGTGTGTTTACTAAGAGGATTTTATTTACATACCCAATGCAAAGATCATTCCATACAAAGCTGGCTCCCCTGCCCTCACATGATACATCTGCCAAATTTTACAGTGCAATTTAGTAACAGCTTTTAAATATTTACAGAAAACACTTTTTCAAATTACAGCTTAAGGCAGAGTCAGGGCACAGTGATAAGAAACACTTGGTGCAGGTTTATGCTAGGCATGATAGAAAGACAAAGTGGCAGCACAGTTCAAGTTCAGACTCATTGGAAATTCAGATTAGGATCTTTCCTAGAAGTCCAGCTGGGTAAAAAAATGCAATCAACAAAAACAGTCCTGCTAGCAGCTTGAAAAGAGAGCTGAGATCCACATGAGCTCAATACACAAACCAGCAGCTAATACAAAGGTTTGGCTAACACAGGGGGAGGGAACAATCATACTGAAATCTTCAAGTAGAGCTCCTGGAAACAACAGGGGGTTGGTTTGCACCTGTAACAGGAAGCAGGTGCAGCTGTAATAAAAAAACCTACCAGTGGAAAGGGGATGTCCAAGGCTTTCAGAGGATTATATGCAGCCCTGTGGCTCCTACTGAAAGGCACAGAAATGAGGTACCCAACTGTTCCTTACGCCTTATAAAAGCTTTAATTCAAAACTGAGGTTTCAGACTTTAAAACATATGCACTAAAATGCACAATATGTATTATTATAGAGATTCTCACAGCAAGTTGTCACAACTTAGAGTGGTACAGCTTCTCTTATCTTTGGTATTTATAAATAAAATGTCCAGTCCCTTTAATAAAGGGCTAATAATGCCACTACTGCCCCCAAATCCTTCCTCCTCATCCACTGCAGCTTCAAAGGATTTTGCTTTCTGAAGTGTTAAGGCAGTAACTAAGCTGTTGGGAATTTCTAAGTATTAATACCTCTCACTTTCCTAGTGATTTATAAGGCAACATTTTCCAGTGGTTCAAAATAAACTGCAGGATGAGGACAGGACAATTTAAGAAGTAGCTATCAGCCCTCCACTGAAATTAAAGGAGGGTAGGATGTCATGTTACTGACCAGCTGACACAAAGCTGGATCCTGTAATCATTACTTCAGTTAGCCCTTATTCATGAGGAATTTCTACTGCTACAGTGCTCCTGGTGCTTCTATTAAGGCTGTCCTTGCATTTCAGCTTTTCTAGGATCCAGCTGGTATCTAAGCTGCTTATGGCAAATAGTTCATCTCCTGGGACACATCCCAAAAGCACAGGGGTGGTCATGGAGAGGATGCAGTGAGTCACCACCCAGTCTTAACTGTGTACAGACAACTTTCAGTCCCCCAGTCAGGCCCTCACAATGGCACTCAATTCAAAAGACATCTGAGTAAAAAGTCCTTAAAAGCACCTATTAAAAAATTCACAACAAACCCTATTTTATTTCCTAATCTAGAAAGTTAGAACTAAGTGTAACAGAACATTCCTATTACTTTGAAACACTGCTCTCTTTGTTCCTAAATAGCTTTTCTGGCCATGCTATGCCATTAGTGTTCAGCACCAACAAAGGTTTAACAGCCTTAAGACAGTTCTAAGTGATCGATGCTTTTAGAGACCTCATTACAATTTTGAAAACATCTAATTGCAAATTACAAGACTGGTAGAAAGCAAGCCCAAAGGGTAATGCCACCTGCCCCTGGAAGTGCAGAGCTAACTACAAACCAAGGGCAAAGTGGAGCTCATGATTATAAAAAGAAATTATCAAAAGCTCAGCTGAGGCAGAATCCTCCCTCCCAAAATGCAGGTGTGTTCCCAGAGATGTTCAGGCAAGGAAAGGCACTTTGGGGCTCTCCCAGAGAGCAGCCTGATCAGAACTTGTATAAACGACACAAGGCAAAAATGTAGAGTAGGCTGTGGGTCCAACCACCCCAAACTGACCCCATGAGGCACTGTGTCTTTTGGAGACCACAGGGACAGCTGCTTCTGCTCCAAGCCAAGAGCAAGAAGGCCACAGAAGATGGTTTTTACAACTGGTGAAGGATGCCCATCTCAAAATGGCCAACAGATGGCAGCAGCAGGAAGCCCATGGCCGACCCAGCTGGACCCACACACCCACCATTGATCAGCTGAAATGATTTTTTCCTCCGTCTGTCTGCACTAACTCCAGATCCAGCTGCAGTCTTCATCATCTGCATTGCTTATAGGTATGTCCTTTCACACAGGAATGAGAACTGGTGGTCCCTGGTGGTGGTGGGAGAAGTGGCCCATTTCTCTTAGCACTGTCTGGAAAAGAAAAAGTGTGCGATTGTTTTTAATTTAGAAAAAATATTAAATGGCTTTGAGGGGTCACTGCTTTAGTACCAAAAGTAAAGTGCACTGTAACTTGAGGCCACTGCTACAGAGCTGAGAAATGCTGTTGGAGAGGCTTCCAGGTAGCATCATAGAAAAAAAAAAAATAAAAGAAAACCTATTACTACAAACTAAAGTTAAGGCAATACAAGTTGTTTCCTCCTAGATCGTTTACCACACAGTTGTCTGCCTCAAGCTTTAATTATTGCTTTGTCTCCTCTGTACTGAAGTCCTTTGCCACCAGGAAAACACTGCTGATAGGATTGGCAGATTGAGTATATCACTTAATGCAGGACTGGCGAAGGGCCTGCATGAACACCACATGCTTTGCAATGTCACACGAAGGCTTCTGTGATCTCCCAAAGGGTTGTACAATCTGGTGAAGAATTTAGAAAGAAAACTGTAACTCTTGCTCCCGAAGCAGCAGAATGTGCTTGCAGCAGTGATGGCATACAGTTTGTGGAAATTTGCAATGGTGCAAAAAAGAACAAATCCATAGTAACAGCCAGAGTACGTAACAAAACAGCATCCTGAAGTCTTCTCCAAGAGGTAATAGCCCTCAAGTTTTCTTTAAAAAAATTAAAAAGTAACAGTTTTTTTTCTTAAAAAAAAAAAGTTCATTTATGGATAAAAACCCAAGGTACAAAAAGAATTCCACGGCTCAGAAGCTGTCCCAGGTAAAAGGCTCATTACTTTCCTGCTTTCATATAGGATGGTATTGCTCCTCGGGCTGTCAGGCCCTCAAAACGCTTATAGGTGTAATTGATGAAAACCCAGTCCTTGTTCTTGTAGTCTGTCTCTGGGTGGTTGCTAGTTGCCACTGATAAGACAAAAGAAAAACAAATTATCATTTGGAAACTGCAATATTTCCCCCTTCCCAGCACACACACCAAACACTGCAGGTAAGAGAGGATGCTTCTGAAGAAAGAGATACAGATTAAGCAGTCAGTTCTTCACTCCCAATCAGCAACTGCAGTTGTGGGGTTTTTTTTTAAACGCTTGGAACGAATCACTTACATGCACAAAGCAAGCATTTACCTGTTGGCTTAAGGATATCAGATTCTGGAAATTCATCAAAATTTGAGGTATCATCAATGCTTTTAATTTCTATTGAAATTGCAGCAGGTCTCTCCCTGCCAAGAAGAACAGATTGAGCGTTAAGGTTTCAAAGGCAGAAGAAAGCAGGATTCAGACACTTCCCATTTCTTAACAGAATCAAGGACCAAAAGCACTTTGACCTTAGCAGGCTTCAGATACAGCCCAGAATACTCTCACCCACACCTAGGCATGAGAAATGCCAGTCAAGCTGCTCAGTGATGCTCAGCAGGACTAGCAGTGAGTTCTTCTGTAAAGCATCTTACCTTATATGCTCCCAATCAACCCCTTCAAAGAATGGATTACTCTTTATTTCCTCCACACCAGATGCACCAATTCTGTGCTCCCATTCACAGCAAAATCTGGGATGAAAGGAAGAATGAAAATGAAGGAAAAATGAAAGCATTCCATCCAGAAATGGAATAGCTTTCCAAACTGACAGCACCACAGTTTCCCAGCATATAAATGGAGAAGGCTAAAGACTCCCATTTCAAAGACAACACATGAAGTTATGCTTAGCAACATCACATCAAATGCTGCAGTTCAGATGTGATAGTCTTCCACAACAGAAGTGGAGAGCAAGAAAACATACAAAGCCTGAAGGCTACACATTGATATTTTTGTCCTGAAAATGGATAAGTGATTGAAAGTATCAAGTGTTTACTTAAAAATGAAAGAGCATGCGTTGGGATGTTGCATGCTCCAGCACATACCATGTCATGAGTATTGCTATGTTCACTAGTTAGTTCTGGCCAAAAGATTAAGCCACTTCCAAACAGAATAGGAAGTAGAAACATTCCCACTTTCCCAGACCAGCAGCACTGTCATGGGAACACAGTGCAGTGCTTTTTAAGCACAGTGCAGTCAGAGCTCCAATGAGAGCTCTGAAAGACAAATGTGTTTGATGAGGGAGTTCAGCATTTGATACATGGGCATAACAAACTGTGCAGCAGTCATGAGGGCTTTTTCCCCACATGAAGCTGGCTATGGAAGCTATACAGTACAGTTTACAGGACAAGGTAATCACTGTGTGAACTGGCAAACCATGTAACAGGCACCTTAAAATAAGGTCCTTGGCTTTGTCAGATATTGGGACTTCTGGAGGAAACGTGAGGGTCTCTTTCCAATTCATTACTTTCTTGTAAGTTTCTTGAGGAGTCTCAGAACAGAAAGGTGGATAACCTGAAGGAAAAAAAAAAAAACATCCTGTATAAAGCAAAAATAATTCCTTTAGTTACTGAAGCCTACGCTGCACCACAACACATCTTAGAAACCATGCAAACAGGAGATGCTTTGAGAGCCTGACCCCCAGCACGCAGACACAGCTGATGTCCTGCACCACGACTCCTGGGAATGCAGGCAGTGCTCAGTTCTTACCAATCAGCATCTCATACATGATGACCCCCAGCGACCACCAGTCACAGAGCTTGTTGTAGCCCGTCTGCATGAAGACTTCAGGAGCAATGTAATCCGGAGTCCCCACAGTAGAAAAAGCCTGAAATGGATACCACGAATTACATGTCCTTAGATAAAACTTGCCGATACGGAACTTGAGCAACAACAGTGATTTCAAGGGAGACACCAGACTGACTAATTGACCCTTTAGCAAAGTTGGTTAAAGGCTTTCTATCAAGATATGCAAAGAAAAAAATTGTTTACATGACGGAATCTTAAAATACCATTGGGGAAATTGGGAAGGTACCTTTGTCTACACGTTCATTAACCCTCTGTTTGCCTGAAAATGGTTTTAGCCAGCAGACAGCAGCTATCAGTGCAGTGCTATCTCAGGCACAACTGCTTGGCAGCTGGATGAAGGACAAACAGGAATCATTCCTTTTTAAAAGAAAGGCCACAAATCTCAACTCCCATGTTGTTCAGAACAGATGTGGATTAATGCCTGCCACGTACAAGGCTGTGCTATTTGAGAGCAACAGCTCCAAAGAGAACAGCTCCAAACAGGTGAAGCCTTGCACTCACCAACTGCCGTCTGTTTCTCTTCCACGTCTCTGCTTTCCGTTTGGAATTCATGTTCTGGAAGGCTGAAGGGGATTGGGATGTTTCAATCCTACTGATCACCCAACAGACAGTTTTTACTCCAAAACCATGATGCTAAAAGTCTCCTTTCTGACACCACAGGATTGCATTCAGCTGTGCCCTCAGAGGTTCTGACCATCCCCACCTGCTCACCACTGTCCCCTATGGCCAAAGTTTACCACCAATTTATTGGTGGGTGCACACCTGAATTCATCTCACACAAGATAAGCCCCACAGGCCATTAAGCAATCAGTGTGCCTCAGCAAGTGATTAAATGCTCAAGGAGACTGTGTGCACATTTATTAATCTGAGATAACAGCCAGCATCTACAAGTTACACTGAGCTCTCATTTGTTTTACTGCACATGCTAAGAAAGGCTACAGCAGTGCCTACCTGAAATAAGAACTCCTGGAAATGAAGATGTCTATTAAAGTAACTGACACTGTTTTTATGAAGTAGTCTTGCAGAAATTCAAAACTACACTTTGAGATGCAATGTTGATTATTAGACCCAAACAGCAGCTCTCTAAGTTCACGTGAAATGTGCCATTGGGCACCAAGAGCCAGTCAACAGATACCACTCTGAAGCCAAATCACTTACTGAAGTCACTGGGAAGGCTATGGTTCAGGTTCCTATAGAACTCTGTTCTATGGGCTTTCTTCAGTCCAGTGCACAGACCAAAATCTGAGAGTTTCACGTGGCCCTAGAAACAAAAATGCCCAAAGTACAACAACAGCGTGAGAATTATCATAGCAAGTGAAGCTGTACACTTCTTACAGTCCTTTATTTTGGTAAGGAACAGATGTGCTCTTTGTACACTCCTTGTTTTAACCTCAGACTGGATGCATTCACAGAACTGAGCTATTAATATTTTCGTCGCTACTATCCAGATAAAGCGCTTTTTCTAGCAGCAATTTAGCTCAAGAACCCCCTGCTCCTGCAAGCCCTCTGCTTCAGAGCAAGAGCAAACATCCCCAGAGGGAGCTGCAGCCCCTCCACAGTGACTGCAGGATTGGAAAGGCACCTTGGATCCACCCCAGCACACACCACCACCTCCACTCTCACTGGGTGTGATTATTTTTTTTCCCCTGTAACTAAAACACAAATCCTTTTCAAAGTCCTGAGTTTATCTGTGTCTAGATGCAGACATACTGAATTATAGCACTAATTCCAGCAGCATGCTATTAGCTGGCTGGTGGCAAAATATAATTTATTGTTGGCACACTTCCAAACTAGCTAAATCTTAAGCCAACCTGTAGCAGGCAATAGGGCAGCAAGACAAGCAAGCTTTCTGCAGAGTGCCTGCACTAACCACTTAGAAGCAAACAGATAACAGGACAAGCCTTCAGAAAGACATCCTGATTCTGAGGAAGATAATATCTCTACTTTCAATCTCACTAACAGAGCAGTTAGATGCTTCACATTTGATATGATCATCTGCCCAATAGCTGGCAAGGGTAAGCATAACAGAAGCGAGACAGAAAGGAAACATCTTTGGCCAAGAGTGAAGAACTGAAACTGTGCATTTCAAATTGCAGCTGAAATAACTAAGAATAGCTGAACAACAGTCACAAGACAGCTCCTAAGTGAGGTATGGATAAAACAGAGGATGGATTTATTAGCTTTTCCTCCCCCCAGTAACATGGTAAAGGCCAGGCTGTGAAATAAGTAGTACTCCAAGCCCCTGGCAAGCTGTCAGTGCATACCTTGCTGTCCAGAAGAAGGTTGTCTGGTTTGATATCTCGATGGATAAAGCCCAGCTGATGAATAGAATCAATGGCAAGCACAGTCTCAGCTATATAGAACTGTGTCTCTTCTTCTGTTAGAGTGTCTTTTTTCATCAAGAGTGTCATCATATCACCTAGAAGCAACACCCACCCCCCCACAAAACAGCAAAGGTAAAAAACAAATAAATCTACAAACCCCAGTCCCTGATCACACTTGTAATTAAGAGATTAGAAGTCCTCAGAGGGAAGGAAAGAAGTCTTTTGACTTCATGCAGTTACCTCCAGGCAGGAACTCCATGATAAGGTAGAGGTTCAGCTTATCCTGAAAGCTATAGAACATCTTCACTACCCACAAGCTGTCTGCTTCCACAAGGATGTCCCGCTCAGCACGGATGTGGCCAACCTGAAAACATATATGCATTTCATTAATTACAAGCCCCTGTTTTATTAATGCTTTAATGTAATGGGAAATTCAAGTATTACACTGATGTTGCTATATCCCTGCACATTCTTCCCCTGTCTGGGAAATCCTATCGAGCACCAACTCCACATCAGCCTTCAGCAGGAAGATGTGAAAGACCCTTTTATATTCAAAGAAGTTCCCACTGGAAAGCTTTCAAGGACTGCTGCCTTTGGACATTAGTACCTGAATTACTGCCAAGCATTAACATACACACAGCACTAATCCCATTATTTTGAGCAAGGATACAAGCAAGAGAAATGTAAAAAAAAATGTAAAATAGTGTCCCATATAGAAAGGGAAACTACATTTTAATTTTCAAGTCTCAAAGGATTCAGGTTGCCTTCAAGTCAGAAGTGCACACGCAATAAAGGATACTACTAAAAACACTTATCTTAGAACGACTTCAGTAACAGACCACTGCAAAACACAATGTATTGCCATGGGAAAATTCAGAAGGGGAAACACATGGTTGATTATATAAGCAACTGAATCGTATATACAGAAGTATCTCCATGTTTATGAAGACCTTTCACAACTGGGTGCCTTGAGAACCAGCTCTTTTCTAAGCAGGCAGCATGTCCTTCAGGCTCTTGCTTCAGCTCCTTCCAACAGCCTGAGAGCAGAGCACCCTTTGGCAGCATTGCACCAAGCAAACACAGCGCTGCTGGGTTTGGTACAAGTGTGTTCAGACATGGAATCCAGTTCCTGGTTTTATGACCACACACACAGCACCTCCCAGATTCATCGCAGTGCTGAACAAGAAATGACTGCCTGACAGCATTCCCATTTCCTCCATACAAAATAGGGAAGAAAAAGCCACATCACTGCTTTAGCTAGTAACCCTAAGATGCCCATCACCGCCCTCTACACACACCACGTTACCTCCCAAAGTCACCCAAGGCACTGCTAGTTAAGGCAGCTATTCACCTGCTCTTTCTCCAGCATATCAGCTTTACGCAGGATCTTCATGGCATAAACATGCCCCGTGTCTTTCTTCTGGACAAGACGCACCTAGAAAGCACATACAGCTTGAATCAGACACAGCACCGTAACCACACCTCTCCACAAATCTGGGTCTCAGCTCCCATTTCATTCACTTGTATAAGACTACACAAACCCAAATCATTATACAGGCCACGGCAATGGCAAGGAAGTTCTGTTAATTCCAAGAAATTAAGTCGTTTTAACAGACTTCAACTTGTGTAAACTGTGTAAGCCTTCAGCAAACAGCAGTGCCACGGGAAGATGCTTGTAGTCATCCATCCTGGACCCACCTCTCCAAATGCTCCTCTGCCTATTACTTTTAAAGACTCGAAGTCCTCCAGGCCGAGCCTCGTTCTCTTCAGGCGAAGGAACTCTGTCTCTTTCTGTGCATGTGCTGATCTCCTGATCCTTTTCTGGAGTTCAGGGAGAAGAAAACACAGCTCTGCAGTTGTGATCCGTGCAGTCACAGCAATTCCACGTAAAGATGCTAAAATTCACTCCTATTACTTAACCATTAAAATGATTTTCCCCATATTAATTACCTCCTCATCTTTCAAGCCTTCTTCTTCCATCATTTGTTCTAGCTTCTTTTGTCTGAAGGAAAAACAGACATCAGAAGAAAGAAGTTGAATTCTTGAACATTTTCTCTTAATCAGATGCACAAACCCAACACAGCTCTGGTCTCTGCCTGCTGTGAAAGCAGTAACAAATGTATATGAAACAAAACAGAATCAGATACAAAACTAATTCTGAGGAACCTACTACTGCTGCTTTACCATTCTTCAGCAATTTACATCTCTACTTCTGATAACCCAAACCTGCCTGACTTTCACACGTCTGATTCAGGTGTACATTTTCACTGTATGGAACACAGACTGAGGAGATCTGAGGTCAGTTCCTGCTCCTATCTTCCAGCAGCTGGAAGCTTCCAGCCACATAAACACTTAAGCATCAAAGTCTCACTTCTTCCAGGGACACATCTGTGGATCTGTACCACAGTCTCTCTGCATCTCAGATGCATCAATGCCAGATGTCACTCTATTTCCTGATACTGCAAAGGGAAACTTGCCAGAATGTATCTTCCCACCTAAGAACAATCAGATAGTAACTGGGAGCAAAGAAGGAAACAAGATTTCAGAGAGGAGAAAGGGTTCAGGGAACTCCTTCCCAACACCGAGCGCATTCACAGCTGGCTGAACTGGGGTTGTGAGTTTTGGGGTTTCCTTTGGTTTGGTTTCTCCTGTCCTGTGCAAATTCCTTTGGTGCAACACAACAAGTGTGCTAAATTCCCTGACTTTGTGCAAGTCATTCTTGACAAGATCCCTTTCTGACCCCTGTGCCACTGCGCAGCTGCTGCGATGCGATAATATTTTGGGCTATCAATTCCACCATCAGGCACATTTCAACTGCTTCACCCTCACTGCAGTGCCCTCATCTCATCTCACACTCAAAAAAAGGCTCAGCACAACGGAGTGATGCTGAATTCCCCCTAAGCACCTCAGCAGATCCCACCTGCACTTCAGCTCCAAACTGCACATCCACACATGCATCAGTTGTAGAAAGAAAAGCAAACACAGAACTTCTGAATGATGCTTTTACAAAACTTAAGTTAAACAGAAAAAAGCCTCATTGAGGTTTTGGGAGCAGACAATAATAGAAAGCCAGGAATTAAATCAGTGATATTTTCAGTTTGGATTAGACCTCAATCTCTCTTTAATGTGAAGCTGAGAAGAAAACACATACACAAAACAATCTTTATTTCTAAATTGCTTCCACGTTTCTGCAGTTACTGTCGTTACCAAGCAGTTCTCTTGGATTGAGCTCAGATTTTGGCAGGCAGATAAACACTGAACCTCTTAGAAAATTCTGATTATAGACTGCATGGCAAGCTGGGAGCACTGCAGACATCCCTGTGCTACAACTCGAGGGTACCCAGCAAATTAGAGGCTTCAAGCCAAAGGAAAACAAAAATAGCACTTGTCAGTGCAATGACTTGGTATATTATGGCCAACCAGCTTAAGGGGTGCGATAGTTAACTCACTTAACTCACACACACACAGAGGCAGCGCTGGGTGACAGCAGCGACAGCTGATGGTGGTGCATTCCCAGCACTGCTGCCTGTGCCACAACCTCTCTGCAAAGAAACAGCAGAAAGATGTGGGCTTTCTACCTCCAAACCACACTGGAACCAACCCAAGCACGTCTTCTACCCATCCCCATAACCTGACCTGATGGACATGAGGTGCGTGTCCCTGTCCATTGCAGGGAGCAGGACCAGCTGATTGCTGAAGGTCCCTTCCAACTCAACAATTCTATGATACACTACGATTTTAAGCTCGCTCGCAGCCCTACCCCCCGTGTGCCATTACCTCATCTCTCGCTCTTCATGCTGTGCTATGAGATTGCTGTAGAAGTTCTCCAGTGTCACCTTCGTCATCGTCACCCGCTCCTTGGTGTGGTTGCTCATAGAGGAGCACGGCGTCGGGCCGGTCATGGCCATGGCTGTGAGGACAGGAGGAACAGCTGACAGGAGCAGCACACAACCCTCAAACCAGAGAGGTGCTCAGGAAGGAGATGCTGGATCGTAGGGACCAGAGGGGACGTTAATGAGACCCAAACAGCACAGCTGCCTGAGCTCAGATTGAGCAGGGAAAAGGTCTTACAAAATAAAGGTAAAGTCAAGCTTCCTGTTTTGCACATTTCTGACCTGAGAATAAGAGGGAAGGAAACTTAAGAAACACGGTGCCCCCAGAAACCACAATTTCAGGCAACACTGAAAGCAGTCGCTGTTCCCAATGGGTTCTCTCAGCGTTCCTCTGCTAACCAAGGAGCTCCTGTGCCCTCACTGCCACCTCATCCAACTCCCAAAAGCCAACCAAGGAAGGAGAGGAGCAACGCTGAAGCACTCCCCATTTACACTGAAACCCCCGCAGATCCAGCGGGTTGAACACCCGCAGCACTTCGCTTCACGCCGAATCCCCGAGGTTGGAAAAGACCATCAAGATCATCCCGTCCAACCACCCCCCATCACCAGCGGGTTGAGCCCTCGCTAAACCACGTCCCTCAACGCAACAACAGCCGCAGCCGGGACCCTTTTAGGGAACACCTGGGTGCACAGCCGGCTGCATCGCTCTGCTCACCGAAACGCGGCAAAACGCGGAGATTTGAGGCAAAAAAGCAAAAGAAAAAAGCGCAAATTCAGCCTTCGAGGAGCGTCGCTCCGAAGGCGCCCACGCGTGTGGGCAGCGCCCCACTGACTGCGCGGCGCCCCACTGACTGCGCGGCGCCCCATTCGTGAGCCCGGCAGCCGCGGGGCGCCGCTTGGTTTCGTTTCCCACGGAGCGGAGCGATTCAGGAGCCGCAGGTGGGGGTGGAGAAGGATAAAAATAAAGGAGGAGAAAGGAGAAGTGCAGCCAGGTGCTCCCGCAGCGCGGAGCGGACAAAGGGCCCCGCCCGCCCCGCTGCCGCCCCCAGCCCCGCACGGAGGCACGGAAGCGGCGGCTCTTACCGGAGCCCCCCCTCGGGAAGGGGGCGGTGAGGAGCGGACCGCAGCGCTGTGATCGCGGCGCAGGGACCCGGCGGCCGCGGGACGGGACGTCAGCGGAGCCGAGCAGAGCGCGCCCCCTCGAGAGCCGGCGGACCCCCAGCACCGCGCCCACCGCCCACCCGCACGGGCCGAGCGCCCTAAGAACCGCCGCAGCACTGCGCATGCGCCACCATCCTCCCGGCCTCGCCCCCGTGGCCCGAGGGGCGGGGTTATCTCTGCTCCCGCCCTGCTTGAGGCAGCGCATGCGCGCTGCCGCCTGGAGGTTGGGCGGGAGGGCGGGCTGTGAGGGGCTGTGGGGCGGCGGGGCTGGGAGGTGTGCCGTCATTTGGTTTTACTCTTCGTAACGAGAAAACGCACGAATTCCGTTTGAAATTAACCTTGCTCTCTTCTGGGCTCAGCCCTCTGCGTTAGAGCTATAAGTGTGTGAGAGGTGTCTGCAGTGCAGCCATAAGGGGCTCCATCCTCACCTCTCCAAAATGGCGCTGTGTGCCCTCAGTGCTGTGTGCCCTCACAGTGCCCTCACAGTGCTGTGTGCTACAGGGAGGGTTGTTTTTTCCTCATCTCCACAGAGATGTGTATGGAATAGCTGGGATGGCCTCTTTCAGTGGGTGATTCCATATTCATCCCGACCGCACGGAGATTGGCAAATGATAATTTTATTTACGTTTCTACAGAGGAACACGAGTGGTTCAGAGGGTGGGAAGGTTTTTATTACAACACTGAGTTGCTGGGGTTTGGATCCAGCACTGAAAAGCACTCTTTGCACACGCAGTTGAAATCTGTCAGCAGCAGAGGAATGTCAGGGTTTTAAATGCCAGGCACGGTCCCTATGTGGTGGAAGTGCAGATATATTTGTATCACGACTGACATTTCATTTCTGAAAGCCTGATTTTGCAGTTAAATCAGACGTTGCTTTGCTTAGAGCTGATCAGCTTTAAGGTGAATAACAAAACTGAATCACGAGCGATCTGCTTCTATTTGAGGAAGCACAATTGGCCTCATGCAGTTGGTTTTCTGCTCAGAAAATGCAATGCACTGCGTGGGCTCACAAGAATACAGAAAAGGTAGAAATCCTTGTAATAAAAGGCTCAAATATGGAGTCAGGAGGGTGATTCTCATCTTTTTCACCAGCAGAGGGGTAATGTGTAGTGCTTAGGTGGGGAGTGGTGGATCTGCTGCCTCTGTGGCATTGCAAAAAGTTTGCTACTCTGATGGTAAAGCTGAAAGATGAGAGATTAAAAAAAAAAAAACAACCCACCTTTGGTCCTAAAGCATAAGGAGAATCACTACTACAACAGAGCAGGGGCAGAGCTGCAGGCAGGTGTGAAATAAAATAAAATGTTATTAGGAGGTAATGGCTTTTTTAGGAGACAAGACATAAAACTTCAAGTGAAGCTGTGAGCGTGCAGGTTAATGAACTGAATTTCCTGCTTTGCCTGGGCTACAGAGATCTGCTACAGCCCTGCAATTTACTGCTAACAGACAGGGAGGGCCTTGCCATGAAAGGCAAGATTTCTGGCCTCTTAAAAATCACTGCACCTCACAATTGTAATAGTCAGACTGCCTGCTAGGGAGGGAACCCAGGTCCTTAAAAGACTTTCTATTCAACACTCACAAATAGGTAATGGAACAAATAGACACTATTTTTCTATTTCAGCTCACCTTTGCAGGAGTGCTTTTCCTTATAACATCACGTATCTAAAGCAGTGCACAGACTGAGCTGGATGGAGGCTAGTGGGAAAAGTTCTGTGGCTGCTTGCTAGGATTTCTCTTTCTGCCAAACTCTTTGATTTGAAGGAGATCAAAAACATCTTGTGGGTTCCAGTTACCCTCTGGGGTCTTCAGATACTGCAGCAAATACTGCTTCTTCAGTGGGGGGAAGCTCTGCTCATCTTCCATCAGTTTCAGGAGCTGCTTCGTCGGGTTTGAAGTCTCATCTCTGCTGATGCTGTTGTAGAGATCTGAGGGATCTCTGGTCTTCTGTGAATCCCATATGGCATCTGAAAGGGAAATATCCCTGCTGCTGGCTGTGTGCACACTACCTAGGGCGTTGTGGAGCCACATCAGACGCTTCAGCCCTTGAAATGCCCTCCCCTTATCATGCATGAGCTGGTGCTCCGTCACTGCTCTTCTCCTGCAACAGCAAAAAGGGTTCAGTTAGCAAACAAGCACAGCTGGTTTTCTGTTCCTATTTCAAAATCACTGATTTGCATCCATCAATCTTAGATTCTCTATGCTGAGGAAGGAGATCTGGTCTATGTAGGATATGGAGGACAACCCTGATGGCACGCTTAGGGTCAGCAGCCTGACCCACGCAGAGCCTGCTCAGACAGTGCAAGGCAGCAGGCAGTCAGTTCCCGAAGGTGGAAATTGGACCTTTAATAATAAAACCCTTTCCATGAACAATACAAGTGCTGTTACTGACATCCAAATCAGCCGTTGCTCATGAGCCATTGCAGCTATAGGCTTTGCTACAGATTTGGATCCGAGTGGGAACCTAATTGTGGAATTGTAGTATGTGTCATTTCCATGACTTGCCTAGAACATCTCTGCATGCTTTGCTACACTATTCTCAAAAGCATCAGCAGAAAGGCACTGAATATAGTATAATTCATGCATCTAAAAATGCAATTGGTGTGATTCTGTACTGCATAAAAGGCAGTAAAATGTATCCATTTTTTCTTTTGCTATGCCTAAAGTAAATGACAGTGAAGAATACAGCCTCTTAAATCAAAAGCAAGCAGTCTGATTATGATATTAAGTAAAAGGGTGATATTGCTTACTTTTCAGTGTCTTGACATGTTGCAAAACAGGCAAGAAAAAAGATTGCCAAAAATGTAACCATCTGCAGAGATCTCTGGGGCAGGAACATTTTCTCTCTTCTTTAAATCTGATCAACAGGACAAGAAGCTGAAGGTGTGACCAAAAGTCTTTCCTTCTCTTGTCATTCGTTCACCTGAAAAAATGAATTTCAGCCTTCAAGCACGAGTAAAAGTGGAGCAATTAACTGATGCATCACCCCAGAACCTCCCAGAACATCAGACGTGTGGACTTGTATGCCAGTAAAAGACAAGGAGATTTCCTGGGAAATTTATACGTTTCTTTGCTGAGAATCCTAAATCTCCTTTCCCTCTCACACATCTCAATATACTGCTTCCAACTCGTGCATTTGCAGGCACAGATTATTTCATCTGGAGCTGGAAAGATACAAACCTAGCAGAAATGTAACAAAACAATCAGGATTGCTGCTTAAAGCATCTGTCACAAAACTCAAAAAGAGTTTAAGGCTGGACCGTGCAAATCAAAGTGAAAATGCAGACACAGCGCTGGGGCTTGGACCTGAATAATGCAGCCTTTTCCACGAGCAATACAAGTGCTGCTGTGGACATCCAAATCAGCCACGTGAGGATCAGATTAGTTTGATAGTGGATATTTTGTCTGTAAGGAAGTGGAGTTCTGGCTTCAGAGGAGCAACTGGAAAGTGTGCAGAGATTATTCTCATCTAAGAGAATTACTTTATGAGCAATTTCCTTGGACAATATGTTCAAATTAAACGAGGCATGAAAGAACACATGCTATTTCCAATTAAAAATATCTGCATTAAATACCGATGCGTACATAAAGATACATACAGAGGTACAAACGTGCTTACATCCTGCATGTTGTCTTAGCCTGTGCAAACGTAGATCTGCTCACACGCTATGGTTAAGCTATGCTTACATATTGTGATGAACAGAAAATCATGTAATAACTAAAAAGCACCTCTGAGTTACAGGGCTGACATCGCCTACTCACCGGTGGTCTCGTAGAGATGGCAGTGAAGTCTCTGTCTGCACGGCTGCCTCTCCTTGCCAATCTCTCGTGACGTTCCAGTTGCAATGACAGTGAGTGCCTTTCACCTTCTTTTATACCTGCCCAGGAACCACAGAAACAATAATCACTTCAGCACTTTGTGACTAAGACCTTTCCTCTCGTGTCACTGAAAGGAGAGAGCTCGCTATTTCGGATAATCTCGGATTCTGAGACGTTCAGCTGTGACTAAGGAAAAGATGACGAGATTGTGGGAAGCGTGTTATTCTTTTGCTGTCTCCTGTTTTGTTGTTGTTTGGGTGTTGGTTTTTTTTAAGACCTTTATTCTGACGCAGTGTTATTGTGACCTGAGATGATAGAAGAAGGGATATTCAAACTTGTTCCACTGTTGATCGCGAATAAGTTCGCTGGTATGCTTTGCTGTGTTCTTGGACTCGTGAATAGGTCACAGTGTTGCACAGGTGGAATCTAAATCAGCAATACTGTAAGTCTGTAATGCAAGTCACCATACAGTGTGAATGGACAGTTACTTGCAGAAAATATGAGGAGTTTGTAAATAAGATCCCACTGGTTTTAATGCTCAGCACAAATCTCATTGAAATTGTTTGCACAGTAAGATGTATTTGCTTTTGATTTTACAGAGTGGGGAGATATGGAGGAGCCTTATCAACTTAGAAAATGATAAAAACGCAAGCAGTTGCTCAGGCAAGAAGCCAAATTCTGATGTGAAACCATAGGACTTAGTGAGATGCAAGTCTGGATACTCACTTTATGATATCTAGTCAGGTAATTCGATACAGTTTGGATACTGAGGATATGGATGGACTGGAGCACCAGGCTGAACCACTAAATCTGTTTAAGAGGACCAGACCCTATTTCTCCAAGCAAATGAAAGTGAATGTATTTGTCTCCTTTGAGAAAAGAATCCCTGGAAAAACTGAGGATACCGTTTGCTTGGTGTTACCATAAGCTACTCATTCATTTCCCATAGGCACCGCCTCACCATCCCATTAAATTCAGTCTCAGGTGAGTGGAAATGCATTCTCTGATGACACAGACAGACCAGGCCCTGCTAGCAGTGTTCTCACCTTCTCATACATTCTCGCAGCTTCTGTGGACATCAGATGCCCTTTATTACATTCCTCGTGACAGCTTGTTGTGAGTCCTGCAATCAAATAAGTGTTCTTGATGACGTGAGTCTCAATTGTTAGTGTCACTCATTAAAGTGTATGAAGTGTGTCACCAATTAAAAATGACATTTGTTAAATGTGGCTAAAGCAGAGGCCTGCTCCTCATCTTAAGTTTCCAGGGTAGCCTGCAGTGTCACTGAATTATCTGTCCGTGAAGGCAAAGTTTCATAGTTACATCCTCAAGGAATTAATGAGCATTGGCCAAAGTCGGCACTGAAGTCAGGACTGAAACATCTGGTCTAATTTGTCCCTGAACTTTTTGAGTCTCTGTCACATAATGGGCTCCCATTGACTGCACTTACTAGTGTCTGCAGTGGGAGAACAGACATTGCATTAAGCCAAGTGCCTGCAGGTAGGTGAGAGACGCTGGCAGGGCTCAGTAAATGGGCACTTGAAGCATTCTGTAACGGCCAAAGTGCATTGCTGTGGCTACGTGCCTCCATTCAATGTTTGTTTCCACCCAAAGATTTGAAGAAGTGAAATTAACCTGTGTGCCTTCCTACCAGGTCCCTGAGAGACCAGACTGCACTGCAGTAGCGGTGCAGTTCTCACAATCATTCAGTGCAAACACACTGGCTTGAACAGCGCAGTGAGGGAGAGATGCTTGCAGGGATTTATTCCATGGTTTGCACTATTTCTAAGGAAAACGTGAGATGCCTGGATCGCACAGCTTACACCACAGCCACATGCACAGCAGCTAATATTTCTGATTATAATGAAAATGTTAATTCCACAACCACAAATTGCAAACAGTATTACCAGCTGATACTATACAGTTCCCTCGGGCCTCAGGGCACTCTGCAGCCACCAAAGACTTTACTGTCAGCTTCAGAAGCCTCTGCTCCCACCCTATGGCATTTCCAGGCCTGGCTTTGCATTGGCCGCTGCCTTTGCTGCCCAGCCACCTTTTGCAGGGTGAGCTTTGGGAGAGGAGAGCTGTGCAAATTGCAGTTTCCCCATGAGTGATTCTTTTGTTTTGTTCAGGCCCTTCCCCAGGGCAGCAGGTGCGGGAGGAAGGGAACATGAAAGGGGAAAGAGAAAGGCTGAAGGTCCAGCTGGGGGGAGGGAACAGAAAACAAAGAAAATGTGCAAAGAGCAAGAAGGGTCCCGGGCCTGGGCTTTAAAACTTAATTCAATACTGCAGGAGGGACCCTCTGTCTTCAGGGAGATGGACAGAGATCAGGTGCATCTTTCTCGTGTGCAGTTTTCTATGAGTCACCAGTAATAGAAAAAGCCTATTCTCTGCTTCTCTCTATGCTGCTTCTCTCGTGTAAAAATCCACTTTCTCTGTGCTTTCTTAGCCTACCAGGCTGAAATTCACCCGAGCTGCTCACTGCGGTGTGTGGAATGAAAGGCACCGCCCTGCTTAGAGGAAACAGTCTGACCACACTCGGATGGTAAATATAGTTCCCCCAAGCTGCTGGTGAGGCAGCTGCTAATGAATGGCTGCTCTCCCTTCCTGGCCTCCTTAATTGAGAGATCAGAGGAAATAACACCTGGCAGCAAACCTGGGGGCCACAGAGATCTTTGCACCACCACAACCTGCAGCCACCGCCATCCCTCTGCCCCAGGAGGACGGAGCAGCATCCTCGGTAACTGCCGGAGGGAGGTGAGATTCATGAGAGTGGGCTGCAGGCTTCCTTTCTTTCTGCTGGGTGTGAGGAATTCTGTGCAATCCAGAGGGGATGGAGAGGAAAGGAATCCCTCTGGATTGTGTGGGCTGTTGTAAATCTCATCCCCGAATCCACTACAGAAAGCACTCCCATCTTCCAGAGGATTAAAACACGAGTCGAACAGCAGTTCGTTGGGCTCAGAGATTTAACTTTCCGTTTAGAGATTTTAAGCCAGACCTGGAGGAGTGTCGGACACACAGCAGCAAGGCTGGCAGTTGTTCTGCACATCCTCCCCTGGAGCCACGCCGGGGGCTGATTCCCCTTCCCCAGATGGAGTATTTTCTGCGTGCAAAACAAACAGAAGCCCAAACAAAGCCTCCAGTCCATTGTGCCACCTCTGTCACATCCCTGTGTTCTGTTCAGCTTAGCCCTGGACCCACGGGGCCCAAAGCAAGAATAAAACATAAAGGAAGGGGGATCGCCCATTGCCGTGCGGGGGTTCGCAGCAGCGGGGAATGCCGCCCTCTGCTGCTGGCGTTTTCTTTGGGACCGCTTCTGAGCTTCCTGCGGACAAGAAGCTCTTAGGAGATGCTACAAATGGACTTCTAAACATTCAGGCGAACTGGACGTGCTGTCTGCCCTGAACCCACGTAGTTTTAACGTGCTGGTACAGTTCTAGCAGGTGGAGGAGGATTGCGTAAATCTTGCTTGGAAACACGCTGCGTATGCATCTACTTGTGTTCAGAATGCTTTATTGCACTCATCATTACTCAGAAAACTATTAACTGCACTTGTGCCAGATATATTTATCTCATTTAGCAAGTCTGGACTAAATACAGCTTACAGATATGGCTGCAAAGTGACGTTTTAGGAAGTAAATACAGCACTGTGTGCTGAAGTTAATAACAAAACTACTCCAAAAAAAAAAACACCAGTTTGCTCAATACATTTATTGAGAGCCTCTGCCCTCGTAAAGCGATGGCTATTTCCTAGGTGCAAAACCCAAATTATGGGTGGAACATCCAAAAAAGCACGACCCGAATGTATCCTACGGAGAGAAAACAAGGAAATAAATATTTTCCCTTTTAGCCGATGAAATAGACTTCCTAGCTGTGTTGCCTTTTTCCTAATTCTGTATCTGTACCCTTCCCTCAATAACCAGCGCCTAAACTGAATTTTGGGGTGAGCAGTGGGAAATCTCCTCAGGAAGCGCCGCCAGCGCTGAGGAAAATCCCGCCCGCCGCCATTTTGGGCTGGACGGCGGGAACAAGCGCGTTCAGCGGGGGCGGGACGCGGCGACCCGTCAATCAGAAGAACGGCGCCCTCTGATTCGCCTCAGCGCGGCGTCATGTGAGAGGGACCGCCCGTATATAACGGCGGGCGGGGCGGGCGCCAGCCGCCATTTTGTCCAGTGAGGAAAAACGGAGCGGGAGTCTCGTTGAGGGTCGAGTCGGCTGCGAATTTAGCGCGGGCTCCCTTCGCGCGCCCTCCTTTTTAGCATCGGTGAGGACCTTCATCCTCGGAGGGCGGGATGGGAGCG